GAACCTCAGCCTTCTCCAAATCCAGGGCAGCCAGTTCTCCTGATAGCTTCCTGAGGGGGCCTATGTTGTCCCTAGTCTGTCTTTTATTTGCAATGTAATTATAGAATCCCTTCCTGTTATCCTTAACATCCCTAGCCAAGTTTAATTCTAACTGGGCCTTAGCTTTCCTAACCTGGTCCCTAGCTTCCCAGACAACATCCCTGCATTCTTCCCATGTCACCTGTCCTTGCTTCCACATTTTATAAGCCTCTTTTTTCCTTCGAAGTTTCCTCAGCAGCTCCTTATCCATCCAAGGAGGTCTCCTGGCTCTCCTGTGCTGCCTTCTAGTTGGGATGCAACACTCCTGAGCTTGTAGCAGGTGATCCTTGAATATCAACCAACAGTCTTGGCCCCCCCTGCCCTCTAGGGCTATATCCCATGGAACCTTACTAAGCAGGTTCCTGAAGAGGTTAAAGTCTGCTCTCTTGAAGTCCAGGGCAGTGAGCTTGCTGCACACTTTTCTCACTGTCCTGAGGATACTTCTCTCTGCTCTGATGAGGTTTTACATTTTTAGGTTTGCTGCACCCTAACAAGTCTAGGAGGAATTTCTCAGTGTAAATGAAAGGAAAACTGGCCTTTTGCTTTCCTGTTATACTATGCTCCTAGTGAGCTGCAGTGCTACCAAGCCGAAGAAATTAAGTGTTGGCATCCTTAGAACATGGAAATGATGTTATCACAACAGGCCAGAGACTTCATTCTGTTCTCAGTAGCACCAGCCTACTCCACCAAGGAGGATCTTTTTGTTATGCCAGCCTCTTGGCTGTGTGGTGCCTGTGTGAAAGGACCTTAAAACCCCCTTAACTAGCCAGCTAAGGATTTCTTGCTTTAAAAGGCATCCTTGGATCACGGAGAAATAAAGTAGCCAGGTCAATGTCTTTCCTCTCACAGCTCTGGGTACAAAAGGTGCTTCTGTGGGAAGAGGCCATATCCAGTGTACCAGCACAGACATATGAGCTGACAGAAATCACTGCTTAGGGCAGCTCTGAGACCACTTTAACCTCTGGGGTCTGGTTTGGTAACAGCTATCCCCAGGACTAGTAGACCAAACAGGTGCCACATTTATCTTCATCTCCTCTTTCCAGCAGGCATCCCAAGCTCAGTTTAACTGGATCAAGTGAGTGATTTCAACAGTTACTTTTCCCTTAGTTTGATGATGCAAAAAGGAGCAGCATCCAATCAAAAGCCTGGCCCTACCTGTTAAAATAAGAACTGTCATGCTGCCTCCTGAGAAACCTAACAATACACTGGTGTTTGCACAATAATTCACAATATGCACTGGTCCAAGCATGACATTAAAGTTCTGTTACCACTGAGTAAATACACTATACAAATGACGCTGAAGGGTTTCCTTATCACTCACCTTATGCAAACCAACTTAGTGCCTGTTTAATTTCACTGGCTAAAGCGGAATGACTCCTGAGTTTGTACCAGTATAAGATCAGAATCCCGCACGAATTTTCTAGGAGCTGTTAAATTAATTAACCGAGAAACAAATCTGTCTGTGGTTTATACAATCAACTTCAGGCTTTCTATTTTTGATACATAATCAACCACAGGATTAAGAGAGTCTGTGCTCTGTCAAGAAAGAGAAGCTTTGCAAATCTAAAAGAAACACAGAGGGCTTTTGGGGGCAACTTCCTCCAGATAAGAAAGTAACTGGAAGAAAGAAGCAGATCCTGATACTATCAGACAAACCTTGCTCTGGCTTAGGGAGATCTGTTTGTGCAGATCTGGCTGTGAGCAGAGCCACATGGGTAGCAAATAAGGTTACTGTCATTTATGGCTTTTAAACTTTCCATCTCTTTGGCCATTTCAGCAGACCACCCTTGTGTGTATAGCAACACAAGACATGACATGGGCAGAGTTACACCTGCTGCCAGAGGTGCTTCTGATAATGCACTCACATAAGTCATTAAGGACCATGAATTCTTATATTGATATTACTTTCACCTATATTCAGCTCTTCCAGAAATGTTATGCCACACATTACAAAAGGTACTCTGAATCTTGCTACACAGAACTGCTGTATAAGGAGTTTTTATATCCAGCATGATGTATGGCTATGTTTTGCAAAATATTAATTTATCCCTTCCTAATTTTTACTGCTTGGATATGATGGTTAACAGCTGACTACAGATTTTCATCATTTAATGCGTTTTTCTAATGGTTGGTCACTTGGGGGAGGGAGGAATTGCAGCATTAAGAACCAGATATTTTGATTTCTATAGATATTAAAGACTATAGATATTACTATACTTGGAACTTAAATCATCAATAATTTTTACCATCTAAAAATGATAGCAACTGGTTTTGTAGTTCTGTGACACTGCCAATTTTATATTTAGGCTACCACAAGCGTAAGAATACAAAAGAGAGTTTGGACTTTATGTAACAGTTATTTAAGAGAAAATTTTAGTCCTTCTCACTGTATAGACAGACCCTCCTATGTATAGTGAATCAATATACTTCTGTCTGCTTGTTGACTGTCATAGACATGAAGCAGCATCATTAGTAACCCTGTAACATGCCAAGATGCAATTAGTTACATAAAAATGCTATTAAAAAGCAGTCCAACACAAACCTGTGCTTTTGCCATGGAAACTTAAAAAAAACAATCCTGATACTAATCTCTTAAAGAATCCAGGTTTTCAAAGATTCACCAGTATATGAATCAGTATATAAAGAATCCCACATGGCATTGTAGCACATCTTGCCCAAACACAGTAAAAATAAACAGCTATTTTCATTTAAATGATTAGGATTTAGGAAAAAGTACTACCATAAATCTATTATGTGTATGTGTTTCTAACAGTGAAATTTAGACTTTATCGTGAAAAGCCACTAAAATTGAAGAAAATCAGTGTTAAAATGAAACTGCAGGTTAAAATGAGTGGTATTTACAAGCAAGAAAAAAAATAACTGCACATGGTATGTAATCATCAGTTAGATCCAGTGCTGTGGAGTTCACACAGATTAATTGTATGGTTGGATAATAAAACTGAAATGTTTATGACCAAGTGTTATTTGTACTTCCCCTGTATAAGATAAGGATAATCACATTTCTTGTTCCGAATCATAAACTGATCAACCCAGTTTTCCACCCACTCAGATTTCTCCCTCTGCAGGGCAGACTCAACAGATTTAAAGCCAGACTGTGAAATTAATTGTACATATGGTCTCCAGAATGCAACCCCAAGAACAAGCCACCTACACACCTAATCACTTAGGCACAAGTCTGAATTACATTCCTTTAAAAAACACACTCAAATCAGGACCCTCTGTGCCTCCAGAGCCTGCAGCCCTTACTTGAAGATAAATAAATGGGGCACAAGGTTTGCTTTTTAAAATAGGTATAGAGGAGGAATATCAATCACATTGATAACTGATGGGATAAAGCACTCAAAAAAGAGGGGAGGTAGGGCTGAGTGCTTTACTTCGCCTAATGGGGATTCAATCCCACATCTCCCATTTCTTAGATGTGCAAGAGGCATTCAGCTACAAAGGGTATAGGGATGAGGAGAGAGCACAAGATTACAAACTTGCTTCTTCCTCCTGTAGAAGCCACAATTTCAAAGCTAAGGGGCTACTACTGCATTTCACAAGTGTCTCAAACCTATTTATGTACTAGGTATGCTGGAAGCATGGGTGAGTTGTGTTTAGAGGAGCTCCCCACCATGAGCTTGAGTTGGGGAAGACAGGCATCTCAGGCTGAGGCATTTCTTATCATGGCAAAAGCACAGCTGCAGAACAGCATAGATCTAAAAATAAAGGAATACAAACTTAAAGTGCTAACTGGTTCAACCTCACTGTCATGAAACCTTCTTAAAATGCAGTCTTTAAAATCTCAGCTGTGTATCCCAGAAACATGGGATAACACCAGATGAAACAGTGCTTAGTCATTTGAGTGACAAGACATGCCATCCTAAGCCATGCAGGTAGAAATAACAGAACTGCTACATCATAGAATCACAGAATGGTTTGAGCTGGAAAAGACCTTAAGATCATCCAGTTCCAACTCCCCTGCTATGGGCAGGGACACCTTCCACTAGAGCAGGCTGCTCAGAGCCGCATCCAGCCTGGCCTTGAACATTGCCGGGGATGGAGCATTTACCACTACTCTGGGCAATCTGTTGTCAGTGTCTCAGCACCCTCACAGTGAAGCGTTTCTTTCTAACAGCCAAACTCTACCCTTCTTCATTTTAAAGCCATTCCCTGTTGTCCTATCACTATGTGCTGCATCCTTCAGAAGATATTTATACTAAGCACAAGAAAATGGATTATAAGTGGTCTGTTGCACATGTACCCTCACCTACCCAAAACTTTCACATCAGACAAGCACTATTACTTTCAAGTAGTTGCGCATGGTTGAGCCAGCCTGAATGAAACATACAGCTGAGACGTTTTTGGTGTTTCAAATGGGCAACCTAGTAGGTTCCTTAAAAAAAAACCATAAAAATGGCGCAACCTCATAATTTTGAAGCCTCAAATATCTGTAACCAGAAGAAAAGTAACAACCTTTTGCTGACTGGCATCAGGAAATAACGTCCCAAGTGTGGCCGGGTCCGACTCGGGACTAGTGAACAGGAGCGCTGCGCTCCAGAGCGCAACCAGAGAAGCCGAAATCCACGGGCCGGGCACAGCACGGCTGCGGGGCACAGCACGGCTGCGGGGCACAGCACGGCTGCGGGGCACAGCACGGCTGACGGGGCACAGCACGGCTGACGGGGCACAGCGCCCTGCCGGCACAAACAGCCGTGCCCCCCCGCACTGCTGAGGCCTCCCTCTGGGGCAGCCTGGGTGCGGTAACTGGGGCAGGCCCGGTCCCCGGCACCCGGATCCACCCGCCGAGGCCCAGGTGGGAGGAGCGGGCGGGGTCCACCCGCCCAGGGCCGGGCAGGAGGGGCGGTGCACACAGGCTCGCCCGCACCTGCTCCGTCCTTCGCCACCTCCTCCTCGCCCACCTGGCCGCGCTCGGCAGCAGCCGCCGCCACAGCAACATGTTGCCCAGGAGCGCCTCGTCCATGCCGCCGCCTCCCAACCCCGCTGCCTACTTCCCGCCTCCCCGGGTCACGCTGCCCTCCGGCCTGGAGATCCTGCGCACCTACTCGGGAGCCGTCATCTTCCTGGAGATCGTGAGTGCGGGCAAGGGGTGGCGGCACCGGCCCTCCTTCCCCTCAGCGCCCCGCAGCCGGTGGCACGGGCGAGCTTCAGCCCCGCTCCTCACCTGCCATTTTGTGTGAGGGAAAGGTGCGGCGGCCGAGCCTGCGGCAGCGGGGTGCTCTCGGGCTGTCCTGCTCTGGTCCCGGGCGGGTGGCTGGGACACGGGGCTGTGCCGGGAAGGGCAGCAGGACCCGGCCCCGCTCCCTTCAGCCTGCCCCGGCGTGTTCGCTCCCATCGCTGTCGGTGGGGCGAGGTGCTTCCCCCCGGCCTGGCCGGCAGCACCAGGGGCTGTGGAGATAGGTTACATGGGGGTTGTTTATGCTGTCGAGGACTTTGGGCTGCACAGAGTGCCCGACCCAAACCCGCCATGGCGAGTTATGCCGGTTCTTGCCTGAGTGAGTGTGTTACGGGTCCTGTGCAAACTCCTACAAGTATAATTTCATGGGTCTGTTAGACCTTACTGGAGGACCTTTGAGTTAAGGCTGAGTATGAGGCTCTGCAGTGGTGCTAAGTAGTAGGAGAAAAAAAAAACCTTGGCAAAAGGCATCTGATTTTAATAATTTTTCTTTTTTTTTTTTTTTTTTTTTTTTTTTTGTGGGGTCATAGCAGACTACTGCTTGGGTCCTGGTCTCAAGTACTGAATCAGTAGGGACAGAAGGGTAATTAGGTTGGCCAATGTATTCTACATCTGACAGCCTACCTGAAGTGGACAGCAGTGGGCAGTATGAGGGAAACAGCACAACAAGGAGCACTGAGTCTCTACAGTAGTTGCCTAAATGTATTTTTAAAGAAGCCTGCAAGGTTGCATATTCAGAGTACTGCAAACATTTCATGTGTCTCTGCTTTTTGTTTAACAGATGCTTTGTGCTATCCCTTCTGCTTCCTCATTGCCCATCACTATCTGGTCTCTGAGTAACAGACTTACACCTGTAGTCTTGTGAAACTAAAGAAAGTTTTGTTCTTCACAGCAGCTAAAAAAAGGAACCCTAGGGAACCACTTGAAGGCTAGTACATAAACCCTTGGGAACTTTAAACTAGACTAACAGTGCATCTTTACATATACAGTGCTGCAATGTAAGATGAGAAAGGAACCAATTAATTTTATACCAGGCATCTTTTGAAAGGTATCTCTCATCCAACCTTAATTCAAAAGAAATTTCTCTGAATCTGAAAATGTAACCCCTGACTTTGTAGTTGTAAATCTGTAGGAATTAAAGCGGGGAAATAGTAACTTGCTTGGTTGCTGTCTTGATCGTAGCTGTCACTACACTGCAGGCTGGATTATGAAGTTAAATCTTCTTGTAAAAAATGAATATATTTCAGATGGCAATTAAGATTTTCTCCAGGTTTTTGTTTTTTTTTTTTATAAAGAGACAGGATTTGCAGGGAGAAATAGTACCTTCCTTAGGCCAAGAGCTGATTAAGCTGTGCAAGCCATAGAGTACATAAATTCTCTATCAGCCCATCATAGCAAAGCATCCCCACCACTCATTAACTGTGATCAGCATGCTGAAAAGAAAATTGGTGGTGCTGAATTCTTCCCTAGGTTATAATAATTCTGGAAAACTGAGTGTTTTTCTAGTCATTATCACACAATTTACAACTTGCCTTATTCTGTATTCTAGTTTTTATTGCTTAATATGTTGTCCTTTTTATTACAAATGCATTGAAAAAGAAAATGCAGTTTCATCTCTTTTCTATATTTCATCTGTTTAGGACTGCAAAACTAAACAGTATGAAATTGAATCCAAATCTGATGTACATCCTTCTCATGCACACTAGTAAATCAAGAAAGATTTGTGTGTGTGTGTGAGTCATGTTTTCACATTTATTATATTTCCTACAAAATGAGAATAAGGGTAACATTTTCAGCATCACCACACAAGTCACCTTGGTCTGTAAATCCCATTTACAAGATTAGAGCTTTTAAGAATTTCAGAGTGGGTTCGTCTTGTCACCACTTAGTGCCTATCATTTCTGAGAGTGGCACTTGGGCCCTCTGAGTACATTTGAAGTGTTGCTTTTTGGCTTCTAAAAGTAATTTGAGAATGTGTTGATTGGTGGTATTAGTTCTTACACAGAAAGGACTGAATAAAAGTTGTCTGTTCATTGTCTGTGTTTCTCTCCTTGCAGCTGTTTGGAACAATAGTCTGGATTTTGGTAGCTTCTACCCGAGTTCCACTGCCACTGCTGCAGGGATGGGTAATGTTTGTAGCAGTGACTGCATGGTTCCTGTCCATTGTGTTCCTGTGTGTGTTCCTCTTCGGTTATGCAAATAGAATCGCTGTCAACTGGAACCAGACGGTAAGATTTTTTTTTACTTATTTGAGTATTCCCTTCATTTTGTGAACTGGAAATCATTTCATGAGAAGTACTGATCCAGAGTCTTAATGCCAGGCCTTCTGTTTTAGTGGAAAGGTTTTCAAAACAGGAATTCAAAACTTAAAAAAGGAAGAGCAGGGCTATAAGGATGATGGATGAAATACAGGACCTGTTTTATGATGGATGCTGAAAGAGTCCAGCTTTTGAAACTGAAGGAGTATGCTTGTCCTCTCTGAGCACATAAAATGAGTGAGCAGCAGGAAGAGAACTAGTTTAACAAGGCATGGCAACAAATTCGTATGAATGGACAGAAATAATCGCAGCCTGGAAATGGGAAAACATTTCTGGACTATTAAGAAGTGATAGTAACACTCTGTGAATAATGGGGGTACATGTAATAGCATAAAGGAAGTGATACATTTATGAACACAGTGTGTTGTGGTTATCTGAGATAGCAGGGGCTGGACTAAAGAACCCATGAAATCTCCTCTAGTTCCTGAGAAAGTCTTCTGCTGACTTTTGGTTCAACTCCTTAAAGCCAGGGATAGCATTGGTGAGTGGTTGTTAGACCTTAGGTAGTCAAAGGCAGCATAACCTGTAGTATGATATAGCTTAACATCTTTCTAGGAAGCTTAAAGTTTATCTTTCTTAAAGGAAACCTGGTAAGACAACGAATAATTACACTCTATTCAGCTTTTCTTCATTGTGGAGACATGACTTGATTCTTGATGTAATGGATTGTTACGGCTTGGGCCGATAGTTCTCACAGTCTATACCTTTCTGTTAGAAAAGGAAAGTTGTTCATTCCAGTTTTTGCCAACCACATGGATACATCAGGTTATTGACTGCTAATTTACATGCTCCTTTCTTGGCATAAACTGTTTTATACTTTGGGTTTTTAGCACTCAAGTAGTTGGGTATGAGATCGTATCACTTTCTTATATTGTTGGAAGTGAATAATAAGAGGTGGCAAAACTATGATCAGGATTTCAAAAAAATCTTCCAAAAGGACCTGAACTTCTAAAATATTAGGAATGGCTGTAACTCCTAATCACTTTCACCTCCCTCCTATGCAGCTTAGTTTACCTATTGATGCTTTTCTTGATCACAGCTGGAATTGCATGCTTCAGTATCAACATCTGTAGTTACTTACCTGTTCCAAGTTATTCACAGACGTTTCCTTTAAACAAAAGGTTTTTAAAGCAAATTGTAATGCTTCATGAGTTTGGGGCTGCAGCTCATCAGTGCTTAAAGACTGGATTCTATTAAAATGAACTTTAGCACTTTGATAGCAAATACACATACAGTGTCAGCTTTTCAGCGCAATACAGGCAGTAATTACATTAATAATCAGTTAAAATTACAGAGACCTTTACAGGGATCTATGCTGTGACATCCTCACAAGTTATGATGCAACAAAGCCCTTGAGCATGTGCATAACTTAAGTAAATTATAATGTGTCCTAGGTTTCATTGAAACTGTCAATTTACAAGTTGCTGGGTGAGGGCATAGCCCTTTATAGATTGAAAATGCCATACAAACGTTCATCTTACAATGATTATGTAAGTGTGTCTTACGCATTGGCTACTCGATGCTGCAGTAATTTGTTACACTATTAATTTTGTCCCCTTGTAAGGGATACATTGCTGAAAAACTTTCTATGTCAGGAAATTGCTACATGACTTGTACAAAAGCTGCATCTGTTGGACGGTGTAACTTAACATAAAAAGCCGTCATAACTAAGTCAACATAAATGAATGCAGAGTGAATTGTTTTATTTCTAACATGGTAGCTGATAACCAACCCCTTCCAGCTGTCAACAAAAATAACACTAGATAGATCTTTGAACCACTATTTTCAGGTACCCAAATGTCTGTAATTTGTTGGCTCTAAATTCTTTAGCAGCACTTCACAAGGATTTTTTTACCTTCTGTTGCAAATAGTTTTAGTGTTTCTAGTAATTGTTTTATTTTCTAAAATAAAAAGTTGTACCTGTTTGCTTTAGGTTGGCATTTGGTTAAATACATGGGGTTTGCCATTTCATAAATTAAATTTACAGAAGCTACAGGTCATTAGAAAAATGTTAAGAGTCATGACTTAGTTGTATTGGAGTAGTAGAGATTAATGCACAAATGTGGTTTAAGACTCCAGGAGCTTAAATATAAGTTTGAAAAATAGCATGGGATTCTGGCAGCCCTTCATTTAGTAATACTTTACATTAGTATCAGTGGAGCTACTTATAATACTTATAATGTAGATCTAATACACAGTAGATATCTTGATATTAGTAAGATACTACAGAGTGAAAAGATGAGAGAAAATACAGACCTTAGGGAGGTACATCGCTTGGTACATCACTGTATTAAACCAGATGGTATGATAAATACTGTCCTTTACAGCCTGACTCACAACACACTCATTTACAAAATTAGATGTGAACTGAGATAACATGCAGATCTGGTAGTGTTTTACATAAACTTTGTATGAGGTTTCAATGGTGGTACATGTGTGGGGGCAAGGAAGGATTAGACACCATGCTAACAGGTACTAAAAACCAAAAAACCCTTGGGGGTTTTTGGTCACAGAAACCATAACCATACAAACATGAAACCTTACTGATGCTACGTGGCTTCACTCTAATTGCTGCAGGGAGAAGGAAATTAGAGGGTTTGGCAGGAGAATGAAGGAAATGAAAAAGTCTGTCTTCTCAAAATCTCTCTCCTGCATGCAGTCAGCATTGTCTTGCTCATGGAGCTATTCTCCTTTACGAGCAGTGGTGCCAAAAGCATACAGCTGATAACACTGGCATAGTTGCTTGCTAGTAGCCCAAGAATAATGGATGTCCCTGATTATGCCTGGGTTGACACAGGCCTTTCAAGGTGATCTTGTGCTATGAAATGGGTAATTCAGGCTGTGATGTGGGGTTTAGTATTTGTCACAGAGTGAACACATACCAGCCTGTGGTCTGATGTGGTGCTGCAGGCAGTAGCATGAAAAATGAGTGTGTCTGCCAGCTCCAGTGAGCTTGGGAGGCCACAGCAGTAAATGTCTGATGGGGTGAGTGCCTCCTCAGCTGCAGCAGAGCACTGCAGCTTCTCCCATGCTTCAGTGCACTCACACTAGAGTAGGTCCCTGGGATTTTTTACTGTGAGGTACAGAAGTTACAGCAGAGCTGGAGACTTACGAAGTGTGTCTTATGGCCAAAGCTTGAGATTGGGCAAGCGTGGCACGTGAAGGCTACCAGTTAGGTCAGGAAGCCACCCTCTGCCCCCTTCTCAGTTCTGTTGCTGTCAGCGGGGCTTTCTTGTGATACTCCAAGAGGAAGTAATTGTTTTTAAAATATTGGAGGGGGAACAGAGACAAAAAAATACCAAATCAATGGAAAACCAAAACTTGGGAATTACTGCAGCAGTTTTGCCAAAACTTGGATTCCCAGTCACTAGGAAAAGCAGTGCACTCTATGGCCTAACCTCAAATGATCAGATGATTTTTCATTAAGAGAAAATCATTTCCTGAGCTAATTGGAATGGGAAACTTACAGCAGCTTATATCGTAACTTATCAGAACTGACTAGGGTGTGATTCAAGAAGCTTTAGCTGCTGTAAAATGTGGAACAACTGATGAGTTAGAAAAGAAAAATCTTCCAATAATAGGAAAATTTCACACCTACAAAGAAACAATTGTCTAAATAGAGAAATGCAGCACATTCTCACTTTGATATTTGATACAGTCAGTAGGCAAGGATCTTTCACAGTAATTTCTAATGCACATGAATGCTGTCTGCTGTTATGATGGACTTGCACATGGTGTACCCTGGGTTCTCACTCTTGACATACTAGTAGCCCATTGCACTCAAGTGAATTAAAAGTGTTGGAGATAGGGTATATAATGTGGATGTCATCAAAAAGCATACATTTACTTGTGTAGAACTTAAAAAACTGTGTCTATGGCTTTTGCAGACCTGCTTGGGTATGGACACGGAGTATATATTTAATGGACTCAGGAACTGCGTGCAGTGCAAATGTCAGTTTTGCAGACTCACAACAGAAGATCTTGAAGGAATATTTTAGACGTTTTGAAACTGTACTGGCACTCTTGGTTCTTGCCATGTGGAAACCGCAGAGAGATTTAGGCACCAAAGCTGCTTTTTCATGTGCTCCAGTAATAGAATTAGAAATGAGAGTTAGATGTTTAAACCTTGTGTTCAGCTAGCATTCACCACGGAAGAGGGAAGAATTGCCTAGATAAGGCAAAGGGAGAAGCATGTTTTAAGTAAATCCTGACTCCTGTCCCCTCAAGTCTTGGGCATTTTATTCCACAACATCATTAAGTACTTCCAAATTACTGTATTTTATGTAGAGCCAAGTTAGGGAGAGTTGAGGAATGTCTCAGTTCTTGGATTCTGATTTTATCAAGAAGTAAACTTCAGCTGTATCAAGGTTGAGGTGTTTCTGGTCATTCACAGAAGCAAAATATAGGCATGGAAGGGGGACTTCTGGGTCTTAGCTTATAGTTAAGAAGGGATTTGGGGGATGGCAAGCTTGTATTGTCCTGCTTAAATTGTGATGAACTTGCCCTATATGTCCCTTCTTTTTTATGTAAACTGTATGAAGGGAGAGTTCTGTAAGCTCTAAAAGCTTTAAAGTGATCTAAAAGGTCAGCATATGTACATATAGATGATTACATGCCTTTAACTTGAAGGAATGGTTTGGGGAGAGTTGCCTCTTATCACTAATTATGTTAGTGAATTGCTTACAACTGCAAGCAGCTGTGAAAACTTGTCCAGGTTAAGCTCTCAGATTGATTTAACACTGATTGTCTAAAGGTAATGTTGTCAGTACTTGTTTCATGTTTCAGTGGTGGGGTTCATTTGTACTAAGGCTAGAAGAATTAGGTAAGTATTGTAGCCTAAACTGAGTCTGTCATTTGCTTTTCAGGATTTTCTTTTCCATGGGGCTACTTTTGTCTTTTATTTTGGAGCTTTTCTACTGCAAGCAGCAACTACATCTCTGCATCACTTTCCCCGCAAATTCAATTCCACCTCACAAGAGAAGATTATGGCAGATCATGAATATAACATAAGCATAGCAGCCTCGGTACGTATTTCGTATATTTATATTTGGGAACAGAAGTCTGTTGTGAGCCCTTGTAGCCAACTTGGGAACTTAACAGCAAGCTGGAATAGAAAGACGAGCTGTGAAAAAAAGGGATTGCCTTTGAGAGTACCAAACAGTGTCCATCAGAGACGTGCATAAAATATTGGAATAAGCTAAAGCTAATGTGGTAGGTGCTCAGTTGCTACTCTTCACTGTAGTGTTATAAATATATGATCATTACAGCTCATAATTTTTAGATGAGATATTTTGTAAAAGCAGTGTTGGTTATTGGAATAGAAGAAAAAGGTAACAACTGAGCCTTCATCAAAGCATCGTGTGAATTTCATGCCTGTGCGGAAACCTTCAGTGGTTTCTTTTATATCATTTAGATAGTCCATGAGGAAAAAAACTTGGACTTATATCAGATATAAAAGTTACCTGTACGGGTTCTGCTGTCCTTTGTGGCAAAGGTTAGAGTGCTTTTATTGATAGGCTAAGCTCAGACTTCATTTTTCTCACTGTAATTGCATCATCACTGAATCACTGTATCTAGTGATGTGGGTGTGCATAGCTGAGTCAGGTTCTAGCTTTCTCCCTGTCTGGACTCCTGAAAGTCCAGGAGTGTGTGCCTGTGGGATTAACTTAAAGAACCAGAACTACTGCTGTTATGTTTTTCGTACCATCCAGAGGGACTTGCATACCTCAGGGAACGTTTCTAAAACCCTCTGTGGGTATTAATTGTCTTTAAAACTAAATGCACCATTAATTTTGCACAGGAAATACCTTCAGTTCATCTTAAGATAAAACCAGATGAAAGTAAGGTGTAAGGTTCACATCCTTTCTACAAGAGGAGAATAAAAAGAAAAAGCCTTTTGCTTTGGCTAAGCCAGTCTCTGATGACGTGCGGTGGGCATGTCAGTCTCTAAGTCTAGAGTGCCTCACCACTTGCCAGTAACACACTAGATCACATCTGCTACCTGTATGGCCGCATGGCAAAAGGACAGAGGTGGTATCTCATAACTGCACCTGAACTAGGGGAGGACTTTGAAATAAGCAAGTATCTCAAAATTTTATCTTAAAGTGTAGCTCTTCAATCCTTCTTCAATGTGTTCAGGTCCCACTGTATATATGGTCTTTTCAGTCATTTTGTCTGACAACAGGATATTGGGAACTCCAAGAGACTCTTTTCCCTTTCTGTACTATTTTTCCAAAGGAGACTTTAGTTCTTCAAGCTCCTCAACTCCCTGTCAAGATAGGGGAGGAGGAGACTATTTTGTAACTTGCCTCAGTATTTTTAATTAAGAGATGCTGAGAAATGGTGTATCAGATAACTGTAGTCCTCAATGTCTGCATTTTTTCCAGAAGTGTATCATTGAAAAGTCAGGACACTCAGAAAAAAAACTGTAATCCTTTAAAACACTTTATTAGAACAGTCCTGTGATCTACATGGAAAAATACAAAAGATTTCTAACATTTTGTGTTTTAAAATTACTTTTGTATATTGTGATAAAAATACACATGTTCATTTTATATGGGTGATAGTTCTACGGTGTAGCATTTATTGAAAACTTCAATTGTCAGTTTATCACTTGTGTGGAAAGCAAGTAGGTAGGTTGTTATGACATGATTGAATTCTTATGTTCTAAGAGACAGAATCCATCATGAGCACCTGACGATATGAGAAACTTCAGCAATTCAGTTTCTCATTTCTTCCTTCTGGTTTACATTACATATTCAGGTTTGCTGTGCAATGACCTTCAAATCTATACAGTTCAGTGCTTGGGCAATATTAACTTCCTGGCATTTCTCAGGAGTTGATTTAATGGCTGGTTATCTGGTCAAGGAGGCCAAATTTGAAGCTGTTTCTGTACTTTTGCAAGTAAAAGGGTTCTGTTTAGAGAGATGTCTTCTCAGCTGTTTGCTGATAAAAGCATTCACTTGGAAACCTGAGATTAATGTTTGATCAGTCTAGGTAAGAGGAAACTAGAATACAGAGTGTACTTACACACAATTACTTTGTTCCATAACTTATGCAGACATTCTGCTTCATATTCTATTTCAAAATGTCATCTGAAGCCAGCAAGTCAGTGAAAAGCAGTAATATGGAGTTATAACAGAGAGGTTAATAAGAAGACTTCAGAGGATGCTAAACATGTCTTTACCTTAAGCATTTTGGCTGAGGGAGGTAACTTTTGAATAATTTGTGTTCCTGTATTCATTTAGAATAGAAAAAAAAAAAAACAAACCCAAACCAAATGTACAGCAACGTAAAGTGTGATTCACTTTTTTATTTTTTTTCTTCTTTTTCTTCCCCACCTGGTCCTCCTCTAGATTTTTGCCTTTGCAACAGCTGTTTGTTATGGTTGCAGCACAGCCCTGGCATTAAGGAGATGGAGGCTATAGCACTTGAAGAGAGGTTGATGCCTGAGTGTTCTGCGTCAGATCAAATTAAATGCTACTTGTCTGTTTTACTGTAATCTAATTCCAAAAGACTTATTTTTTTGCTTTAAATCTGTTTCAAAGTGCTGAAATGCAAATAACTCCTCATAAGGATTTCCCTAAAAGAAAACAAGTTTGCATCTCTTCCCTTCTGATTTTTACTTTTATTCTGTACTCATGAAAAGCATACTTATTGTATGGTATTACAGAGTTCAGGGATAAACAGATACATCATTAGCAAATAAGAGAATTCTAGTGCTAAATCAGAAGAGGAAGAAGATGGAAACTAAACCAATGTGTTAACTGCATAGGCAGCTAAAAACCTCCTCCCTTGTTAAATCCTGGGATTGGGCCTTAAGTATTTTGCAGCATTACAGTGCATTCCACACAGGTGGGGGCTTCAGGCTCCTTTTAGAGTCATAGGTTTTCTGTGTGCTGCTCCTTGTGCGGTCAGAGCCCAAGCTGACTTTGTGATACCAGTTTAGTATGTATATTATTAATTTTGATGTACAGAGAAGATATTTTAAATATACTTCCAGTGAAATCTTTTGATACTCTTTTATAGCCATATCCACCTATGGTTATCTGATCCTTAAAGCTTCATGTGTTCTTTAGTGCATGGAAACTGGGACTGTCAGTCAGTAGTTGATTAGTTTTAGGAGTTTAGCTTAATCAGATCTATTTATACTGCAAAACTGAAACAGTGCATCTGTGTTGTGTGTGTGTATATACATGGTTTATTTTTGTTTAACAGGAATATTTGCACTGTTTTACTTTGTTAGAGTACAACTTTGGATTTGTTACTTCAAGTGCTGCATTTGTTACTTATTATGTGAGTCAATATCATTTGAATGGAATGTAACCAAATGGTGAATAATGTCTGACCTCAATTCTTGCAGTGTTGTTATTTGTTGCATTCTAAACCTGAAGTGTTGTAAAGGTGTTTCTATTTGGACAGGTGCCTACACAAATGTCTTACTGAAAGCAGAGGAATGCAGAGCGGTTCGCCCACTGTGGAGTTTGCTTTTGGCACAAATGAGGTTTAATTGAGCCTCTCTTGAATATCCATGTTGTATAATGGCATTCAATATTTTATATGGAAAAGCAATGTAACAAAACTAAAGGATGGCATTGCGCTCTGCTCTGACACTCATGCTGGTCTGCAGATGGTGAAACTTTTTGTAATGGCAGTAGATGATTTTTACTCTTGTCAATAGTGCCAAATTGATCACCTGGGAGAAAAAAGCTCCCTGTCATTCATAAAACAGCATGCTCACCACATCTTGCCATTGCACCTGAATACTCTGTAGAGACCAGCAGTGGTTGGGTAAGGGAAGACAGGACTTTCCTCATTCCCAGGCCTACTCCTTTTCCTGGAGCCAACCAGGGTGTCTGCCGTGGAGGTTACTTTATCAGACTTGTCAGGTAGAAGGATTTCTGAGAGGCAGCCACCCCCAGCAGGGCCCTGCAGTCCCTGCTGACCCTGTACAGGTTCTTAGGGATGACGTAGCAGTGAGTGGCATTCCTTCTGACTACTGGAACCAGTTGATTGTCCTGAATTACTGCAGTGGGATGATTTTGCATATCCTGTTTCCTTAAATTTTTATCTTCCAAAGATTTTGTACTCTGGCTGATTTATTACCTGCCCCCCCCCCGTTCTCTAGTTCTCTACTTGCATTGAAACTTGTTTTGTGAACATTTTATCTGTAGCCATATACTTTTAAAAATGCTTCATATTGTATAAAATACACTGGAGTATATGGATGAAAGTATGTAACAAAAAACTTACTCTAAGCATTAAAGTTACTTAATATATTTATGGCAGTAGTCTGGTTATTAATTCTGTCTCTGGAAAGTATCAAAAAACTACCTTACAACTTTGCCTGACCTGATGCTGGATGTGTAAAATTAAGGCTAAGATTTCATGACAAGGCCCAATTACATTGATGCTAGTTTTGTGTAGCAGTTTGCTGCATGACACGGCATGAATATTAGTAAGGAGAAGAGTAAGGTTAGCTACAGCAATGTTGGAAATGGGAGCTGATCTTTGGTGTAGTTTCTTCTTCACCCTGCAACCTGGAAGTGCACTGCGGTCCACAGACTGTGCATGCCAGAGCTGTTGTCTCTGCAGCCAGCTGGGGTGATGTGGGAAAGATCTTAAATTAAACTTAAACCTGCAGTGTAGGAATCCCACATTCATGGTGTCAATTCAAAAGCTGTCCAAGCTGGCATTTGTATCTAACCTCTGAGTTCAAACCCACTGTGTAAAGCCCGTAACTGATGGATGCAATTCAAGCTTCTTACTCTACTTGTAGAAGTCCAGATAACAGAGTGTGGTTAGTGTAGCACAGAAACTGTTTGCATAGTGAGTAAAGGCTCTTAAGTATCAAAGACAAACAAAGGGCAGAGAAGAGATAAAGGTAAAATCTACTGTAATGAAGAACAGCTTTCATGGCTAAAAAGAAGTGAAGTAATGGAAAATTTCTATTAGTGTGCAAGGAGTTTTGCTCTACTTTGAGGAAGATTTACGGAAGGATCCACCAGAACAAGCAGTTACAGTCTTCTTTTTTTTTAAGGACAAAAAGAAAACCAGTGATTAAATTAGTTAATTTTTCATTACTTTGTACAGGGAGCTAAAAAGATAGGTGTGACTCAGAAAGAGCATGTGCATATTGGGATGTCTGTATGCAAATACTGATATAGCAATAACACATAATCACTTAGATAGGTATTACAGGTGACTTATGCAAGTTGGTTCAAATAATTCTCACTCCTCCCTGTACACAAAGTCCCCCAAGCCTATGACCTTGTAGAACACAAGCTTAGATCTCTCCAAAGAATGGAATGAGTAGGGGAGGACGCAGGGAGATAATTTATCTCAATGAATTTCAGGTGAAAGGAATAAGACCAGAGTGTTTTCAGCAAACATCTTTATTTAATGTGAGGCTGCAGTGTAGGAGTATCTAAGGTAACATGAATGTCCCAATTCTTAGAATCAGACAGTGTTTCATGGCATTTTAATACTACACCAACTGCACAGGAGCTGCTGGGAAGTAAGCCCTCTCTAAGGAGACTTTACATCAAAGGGTGCAGAGAGAAGCAGCAGTTTGGTGCTTGTTGCTGAGGAGAAAGTATACGTTTTAGAAAGCTAAAACTTTGTTAGAACTTTCTCCAAAAACATGCACAGCCAGTGCTTCACAGAAGTCCTGACTCCTTCTGTCACGCTGAGTGCCTGGAAATAACCCAGAGTGACACAGGCGCCATGGTGATTATTGGTACGTACAGGGTTTGTCTCTTTGGATTCTCATGATTTCTCGCTGTGTACTTTGATTCTAACTCCTGACACGAGTAAAATTCTGCTGCTGTAAAAAATGCAGCCTTAAAATGCAGCTGTAAAACATGGCTGTAAAGGGTGAGAGAGACAGAAACAGGGATCTCACAAATCTGTGCCCTTCATAGTGAGTTAAAGAAAAGGCACTGGGAAGTCACCGCACCAGTGTCTTCTTTCTATTTAGCTTCTCAAGCCAGATGACATTACCGACTTCTGTTGCATTTCATCTAATCATAGTATTTTTGTGTTTGCTTTATAACTTTTAAGAATGTTGATGTTCATAATTTTCCTATTTGAATGTGAAAAATGTTCAGAGCTTAAATCTCATTTGTTGTGTTTTTTATCCATTTACTGTGAAACTGGTCTCTGAATACTAGTGTCCTGGTGCATTTCATGCTCTGTTGCCAGGCCGTCCAGGTTGTACAGAAAGGCTTCCCAGGGCTTACATATCAGTGCTGGTGAGCCACGAGATCTCAGAGATGCAAACAGGATGCTGTTTTTTGCAGTCTTACACAAAGAAAAACTTGGAAATGAGAGCATGTTATACCTCTTTCTTAGGTGTTTTTTGTACAATTGGTCATGACACACTGGTCTTAATTGAGACACAAAACCATCAGCTGATAATGCAAATGTGGTGTATTAATATCAGTAAACAGCAATGGAAAGTGTTTACCTCTTTATTTTTAGACAGTGAGTTCATCATGACTGTTCCCCTTTCTGCCACTGGGTTAAGTTTCTTTTAGTCCATTATTGTGCTTATCTAAACCCTCCTCTAACCTGAGCAGCTCACAATTCACTGTATTTATCCTCAAGGTGCTACTGGAAAGAAGTGCTATTCTCATTCCACATGTAGGAAACTCGTTTGCTGAAGGAGTCACATGGAAGATGTGAGAATCCTGGGGAAGAGAAGGCTGCATGGAGACCTCATAGCAGCCTTCCAGTATCTGAAGGGGGCCTATAGGGATGCTGGGGAGGGACTCTTCATTAGGGACTGTAGTGACAGGACAAGGCATAACGGGTTCAAACTTAAACAGGGGAAGTTTAGATTGGATATAAGGAGGAAGTCCTTTACCATAAGGGTGGTGAGGCACTGGAATGGGTTGCCCAGGGAAGTTGTGAATGCTCCATCCCTGGTGGTGTTCAAGGCCAGGTTGGACAGAGCCTTGGGTGACATGGTTTAGTGTGAGGTGTCCCTGCCCATGGCAGGGGGATTGAAACTAGATGATCTTAAGGTCCTTTCCAACCATAACTATTCTATGATTCTATTCTATGTGTGGTGGAGCAGGAAAAGGAAACCTGGTTTCTCAAGTAAGAGGTCCGTGCCCTGCCCAGCTGCCCATCCCACTGCCTGCAGTGGGCAGGGAGGAAGCAGGACAGCATGGATTTTGTGTGTGACCCATCCCATTCCTGTCTCTGTCATGGTGCTATTACTCTGCCAGTTAGCTACACAGGGTTAAAAGGTAGACTGACTGACTGTGAAGGATGATGAGTCAAAGGGAGGTTTTATATGCCAAACTGGCATTCCTAGATCAAACGTTGTAGTTTCTGGGTGTTCTGACCTTGGATTTTGGTTATCCAATTGTAAATAGGCTACAATGAGTTTTTGTTTGACATGTTGATCTACCTCTTGCAACTTAAGAGAGGAAACCGGTCCTCAGAAATCTGCAGGCTTTGGCCGCTTCCTCCTTTACAACATGTTTGAGCCCTAAATTCTTGGCGTTAGCAAAATATTACCTGCCTTAAGCCTGCCAGGACGCAGCACCTTTCAGTTCAGAAACCTGAGCTAAGTTTTGGCAACTAACTTGTCAAGCTGCCTTTCAAGGGAACACAATGATCAAGTCAGACTATGTCTAGGTGTGGTTTTAACACTTTTCTTGCTGTGGGATTATTGTAAATAGCAATAAGGATTCTGGTGGTCATAGACAAAATACTCATACACTTACCCAGTGTCAGACCTACTGTGCCTGGCTCCAGAGAGACTCTTGTGCAAGAACTGAGCCCTGTGGATCCACAGATGCTTGCAGCATTACCACTAATCTTAAAAGAATTATCGGAGATTTTAACCTCAACCAAACACCTTTTTTTCCTGGTCCTCTCAGCGAGGTGGGACCTGTGTCACTGGACCAGCTGTGTGCGACAGTGAACAGCAGATCAGAACAAGCCCAGAGGAGTTCATTGTGGAGAAAAGGATCCTTCTGCTGCAGAGCTGGGGCTTCACGTGGCCTCACTGCCCTGTACACAGGTGCTGGGGCTTCCTAGTGATCTGATTACATGCATGGGCAGTCCCACTTGCAGTGCCCATGAATGATTGGCTGTTAGCATTACTTTGTCACAGGTGTTGGTTTAGGTTCGTTAAGCTTTATGAGACCAACTAATGAGGCAAAAAGTGTTTTGTTTCTATAAATGCTTTGCTGCCTCCTATAAATGCCTTTTTGTCCCACTTAAGAATCAGCCATTTTTCTTTGTGACTACTTTTCAAGTGGAAAACATACATTAGCATAGATTAATAATGTAATAAATGATATCATAGTTCTTACTGTTCCTAAACTGCATTAACTGGAAGTATTTCAAGACTCCTGGGTCCAGGTGAACACCCCAGCAAGTCACAGCTCTCTGCCATGGTAAGACTTAAACAAGCATCTTCTCCCTGCTTCTGTTTTTGGAGGGAAAACAGGGAGCTGCACCAAGATCTGGACAGGCTGGACAACCCAGAAACCAATGTGTTGTATTGGGATTTGATTCACTGTTCAGTAGCACTAAAGGGCACAGATGGCCTCAAGATGGTTCCACCAAGATAACATACAAACCTATGGCAAGTCGGGAAATGGAATGAGAGGCCTACTGATTAGAAAAGGAGATTAAGACCTTAAGTGCTTGGCTCCATTTGTCCTCTGTATAAAATCTGGCATTGAATCCAACGCTTGAGCACTTAATATACCCACTTTTCAAACTGTAAATACCTTGGCCTGGGATCTGAAGCCCTGGGGAACCTGTAGGTCCAGCTTAGAGCCTTGGGCTCTTAGAATAAGAGGCAAGGTGAATCATCACCAGAAGCTTTAACCCAATATGCAGGAGCAGAGGAGAAGGGGAAATGTGGTCCACTTCCCATCTTGGTACCAGCTTTAAGAGTTGGAGGAAGGGCAGTAGTGCTCCTCTTCCTCTCCGTTCCCTAGCTGCAATTGCCACAGAAAGGAGGACTTGAGCAGAGCTGTCATGAGAGTTCCAAGACATGACTGACTTACCCAGGGCAGTGACAGCTCCTGGCCAAGTCCAAGGTTCAGTCCCTGACCTACAATAAAAAGTAAATATATCAGTAATGAAATAGTCAAGCAACATCTTGAGTCTTAGCTGGAGCAAATGTGCTTAGAAAAAGACCGCTCCCTCAGAGAGAAATTTCATGATGAACACGAGGCCACATTTTTCTTTAGTTATATAAATGCAACTTTTGAGGTCCAGTCGCCAGCGAGGAATTTTACTAATGGAAGTAA